TAGAGCAGAGAGATTGGAGATTGGAGAGGAGGGGATTACAAGACAGTAAGTAGGCACACAATGGGGAATACACCGGGCTGTTTCTGTAGCGCATTGTTTTCAATGTGTAATCCCTTCCTCTCCAATCTCTCCACTCTGAGGAGGGAGGGAGGAAAAAAAAGTGATTTCTGTAGGCAATCTCTCCTGTGCATGACTTGTTTCTCCCTCTAGTAATCTTGTAATCCTTTCCTCTCCACTCCAATGAATATAAATAAAGACATTAATTCCCTTCTTGTTAATTATCCCAGTGCCGAAGTGAGCATTTCAAAGGGCGGGGGAGTGAGGAAAAGGAAGCACAGTTGTGGTCACATGATTTCCCACTCCACTTAACGACAGATCTGCTGGTCCCAATTGTGGTTGCTAAACGAGGACTACCTTATTATATTCAATAAAGCTAGAGATTAACAAAGGATTCTTTGTGCGTTGTCTTGTCTATTAGTGTGGATCACCCACTCTTCTTCTATCCCTTAGAGGTTAGTATCTCATGGAAAGATTTGCAAGTGTGTTCCTCACATAAACTCCTGACCGCTGACCAAGGCTACATCTCTAGCAATTTCAAGATACCCGCTATTTGCAAACCATGGAGCATAGCAAATGGGGAGAGCTAGTTATATTTGCCTCAGTGGATGGCAAAAGGAAAACTGAGAGATTATAAGTGGGAGATATTGTCTCATGGTTATATCAGGAAGGCAATAGAAGGGCCATATCTCAAAAGTATATATCCAAAAGACTCACTTGTTAGACAGTTTCTCAGTTCCTACATAAAGGGTAATCCTCATGAGACCAGCCCGAGTTCCCATGAAGGCCATCTCCACACCATCTTCAGTCTCACTGTTGCAGAATGAAAATGAGAGTTGAGTAAGCAAGAGACAGAAATCATAGAAAGATTGGTTCAACTTTCTTTGTGCTATAGGATCTGAGGTTAGGGAACAGATTGTATTTTACAGTAGTGAACATGCTTTCTAGGCAAGATCACAAATCCAGTTCTCAGCAACTCTGGGTAAAGCCTGAAACCATAGACAATGCTGGCTAGACACATTTTGATGGTAGTAAGCGAGCTAGCTAGACTAACAGTCTTAACTAGTATAATGCACTTTCCTATGTCTCTATCACATTAGCTCCCTCTGCCAAGGAGTCTTTTCAACACTGTAGAAAGTATTGAGAACCATTTTGGTGTAGTGGTTAAAGCACCAGGCTAGAAACTGGGGGACTGGGAGTTCTAGTCCCACCTTAGGCACAAAGACAGCAGGGGGACCTTGGGCCAATCACTTTCTCTCAGCCCTAGGAAGGAGGTAGTGGCAAACTATTGCCAAAAATCTTGCCAAGAAAACTGCAGGGACTAGTCTAGGCAGTAGTCAGGAGTCAAAAACTATCTCGAAGGCACACACACATACTGAGGGTATTGGGATACAACTTTCAGATCACACAAAGCTGTGCTTGGCCTGAAAATTTGCATTCTGCATTACCTGTGTTTGTAAGCAATGCATGCCCACATTGAAACCCAATTTCCAATGGGTTTGAGAGTAGTTTAGATAAAGTTGTGGAGAATAAACAAGGCTATATGGAATCTTCAGTTTAGAGGCTGTATGTTACCAAAAATCAGACCTTGGAAAACCTAGAGGAGAAATGCTATTGTTTGCAACCCCTGCTTCTCAGTTTTCAGAAAGCATTCAGTGGGCCATTCTGAGAAATGATATATTGGATCTTTGATCTGATCCAATAGCTCTTCCTTAGATTTTTGTATTCACTCTCTGATCACCTACTGCTTTCTTATCACAAGATTCCCTTGGTGTGCAGAGATGAGCTGGGTTGCTTATGAAGGTAGAAGACTCTAATACCACTTTTTTGGCACAAGTTTCGTCATTTTGTTATAATAAAATAACAGAATACAATAAGACTGGGTTCAATTAAAAAGTAGAGGAAAACGATGAAAAAGTCTTACATAGCAGCAAAATAATAATAATGCACAGGGAGATCTGTACCCAAATGGCAGTGGGACCCAGACATGGCCCTTCAAAGGAATGAAGACTGTGGGAAGATCCTTATGGCCAAAAGTGATTGTTTGTACAATATAGATAAAAACCAAGCTGCTGTTGATTCTTGCTTTTTGTATCACGTGAACTTTCTGAACACTACTTCTAGGCATGCACAAGTAGAATGCATTGCAGCAGTCTAAACCTGGATTGTTTCAAAGCCTCTTTTAACTCAAGAAATAAGCACTTACTTGGACAAGCTGAGGGCCAAGGTCGTCCAATAGGCTTCCATAGGTGCTGTAACTACAGCATCAAAGAGAACCTGTTGAACTAAATCTTCATCACCTGGACATGAGAAAGAATGTAAGAAAGAAAGTCAACCACTGTACAAATACTTCACAGGTTTGAACAGGTAGCATATAAAGATTCAGGCAGTTCTTGAGCTTGCAAACATCTAGCAGAAAAGGTGTCAGCCATAAGGGGAAGCAAAAAGACCTTTCTTCACTGATAGATTTGTCATATACGTTGAAACTAATAAGGACTGTTGGGAAGGGAAGGGAATCCATAGAATAACAGAATGCTTGAAAAGTTGTTAGCTTTTATTAGGTTTTGGAATAATTGGGGAATTATAAAAGCATGGGTGAAGTAATTATACACTGTACATAAAACTGAGTACCTAAAACAAATCAACAATAAGTATGTCTTAGGTTTTTGTATGTTGTAAGTTTAGGTAATGTAATATTTGATTTAAAGCATACCAGTATCCCAGTATCAATGGTCAGGGCAGTTCAGGATGACAAATTAATGTTTTACATTGATGAATAAATGTTTGTCCTTACATAAGAAAGGATTTTCCAGGCTGAACAACTCTATGAAACTACTGTATTCCCTTCACCTACCTTTATATTTCAGTCTATCTTTCAGCCACAAAAATCTCCAGGTGTTTTTTGCTTGAATGTTGAGTCCTTTATGTTTCACTGTTTTCTCTTTTCATTTTTTAATTTTTACAAATCTTGGGCTGCCTGATGCTATCACCCTCTTAGGCAGAGATGGTGCACTTTTGGCCACATTCAGAACACTGAGATTGGTTGATCCCTATGGTTACTTGGAGAGTTTATAGCAGTGTTGTCCAAACTTGGCCACTTTAAGATGAGTGGACTTCAACTCCCAGA